CACACACACACACACACACACAAGTTAAACAACAAGCAAGTTAAGTAATGGAAACCTGCTCAGATGTGTCCATGGACAAAATCAAACAACTATTCTTGGCTAGAATTTCATAGAGGTTTGATGGGCTTCAAAGTAGCAAGTAAAAGTTAACTATGGTGGTTTTGCCTGCCTTGTCTGTTTCTCTCACATGCACACACAATATTGCATGTCTTACTGAATGCAGATACTAAACTCTTATTATCGTTCTCACCTGAGGTTTTTTCTTCTACCCAAGCATTTATATGTCTTCTCGAATCTTCTGAAGCTTGTTTGAAGTTAAGTTTCTCCAGACCTGCATGGTAGAATTTCTCAGTGGATTCTATAAATGACTTAAGAAACAATGATATCTCAATAACAGAAGCAATAATAAAAACAATAATTGATTTTGTCTCATTTTTCTATCAACTAACAATCCAAAAACATTGTTGAATTCACCTTACAAACAGGCAGGGCCTTTGGATAGTTAATACAGTTTGTTTATTCAAGAATATATTTGGCAATTATTGGTCACACGGTTCTATTTTGCCTTTTCTTAAGAGTTCTATATTTAAGAAGCTAAAATATTACTGGGTGTTCCTGTAACATTCCCAGTAAAAGCAGCTGGCCTTTTAATTCTCCCTTCAGATAACTCAATAGACCAAGTTATAGCTATAGGAGCATTAGATACATTTTAGAGCCAAACTGCAATTGCAATGAGATAAGCAAACATTGGAACATACAGAACATTTATGGTTTATTTCCAACCAATTGTTTAACATGTAAAATTATAAGAATATTCAGCATTTTGTTAGAGCCAAATTGCAATTACAATGAGATAGGCAAACATTAGAACAAACTGAGCTTTTATGGCTGTTTCCAGCCAGTTCTCCAACTTACTGCAAGAAAATCATATGATGTTTCTCCAAAGAGCCGGTTGGCTAGACTGAGGATATAATTGGCTCCTGGTTTGTTGATTTCAGAAATAAGTTTCTCAAATTTTTGGTGAAGCTCTCCGTCTTTGGATACAGAAAGCACCTATAAGAGAGATATGGATAATCAAATTAGGTTTAAAATCAATTCAAAATGTAATGCAACAATGGCAAATCTTGGAAAATCTTACAAATGATATCCCATATAATTTGGAACTAACTTTCAAATGTATAGCTTTTTAAATTAATAGCTGATCAGATCTAGGGTTCAAAGCTAAACTCCAAGCTTGTACAGTACAAGAAAAAACACCCTTCCTTAAAGGAAACCACCTCCCTGCAGTTGTCTGGAAACTCATATGGTATCGATGTTCATATGGTCCCCAAAGTTCAGCTTGAGTTGACTCTACTGTATATATTTGGACTTCACAAGCTTGAAGGTCCTAGTCATTGATCTCCTTTGAAATTCAATTTGAGAGACAAGCAAGAGAAATAGAGGATTTTCAGAAATGTCTTCCTCGGAAAAGGTTTTTAAAGCACAGAGTATGCCTCCATGCATAAAGTATTTTTTAAAAGGCAGAAGGAACATTCTTGTACCTACGTTTACTTTTTATATAAACTTTTTTTAATAATTTTTTTTTTAATAACAAGCATAAGCATACACAACAAAATTAACATAAACATAACACAAAAAACATAAAAATATCCTTCTTCATAAATTTACATACAGTGCATCAATTGGTTTACCACTTTTTTTTGTGCATCCATTTCCTAGTCACTAGTATAATTATATTACATAATAGCTCATATTATCAATCAATAATTGTATAACCTAATATCATCACTTAAAAAAAATCATTTATAATTTTGTTAATTCATATTTTAACGAGATAAGTATAATTTGCTTAATTTATTTTGCAATAATCATAAGATCATACCAAATCTACCTTGATAATGTTTTATAAAGATAATATCAAGAAAAAAATTTTTTTTATGCTAAATCAAATATTCTATCATTATGTTTTATTATCTAACCATTGATAAAAAAGATCCCAAACTTCATAAAATTGTTTATCTTCTTGTTCTCTGATTTCAAATGTCAATTTACTCATTTCAGCACAATCCAGTATTTTCTTAATAATTTCTTCTTCTGATGGAGTTTTCTCACTCTTCCAGTTCTTAGCAAATACAATCCTAGCCGCTGTTAATATATTTACAATCAAATACTTCAAATTTTTATTATATATATCAGGTAAGATTCCCAATAAAAAAATCTCTGGTTTCAAGTCTATATGTGTCTTTGTCATTTTTTCCAACCATATGCGGATTTTAGTCCAATATTTTCTAGCGTCCTCACAAGTCCACCACATATGATAGTATGAGCCAGGTATCTGATGACATTTCCAACATTTTTCAGATTTGTTCTTAAACATTCTTGCGATTCTTGTCAGGGGAAAATGCCACCTGTAAAACATCTTATACAAGTTTTCTTTATAAGCTGTTGACATTGTCATTTTATAATTTTGAGACCACAATTTTTCCCATTTCTCCAAATCAATCCCATATCCAAAATTCTTCCCCCAAACAATCATCGTTTCTTTAACTTGTTCCTCCTCTAATAAAATTTCCAACAAATAAATGTATAATTTTTTAATCATTTTTTCATCAGTACCTGTCAAGATCCTGTCTAAATCAGTCAATTTATCATAAAATCCCTCCGCTTTAGAATCTATAAGATACCTTGAATGTATTTGCGCATATGAAATACTTTTTATATAAACTTTTGAGCAAATTGAATCAATGTATACCGCCAACTTTACTCCAAATTTATAATAGAAAGTATTTCTTAGGGTAAAGGTAA